GCTGGACACAATTCGTAACACAACATGAGTCTTTTCTGCGGAATAGGCACAGAGTGGATTTTGGTTTAAGGAGGTCACGCAAAGTTATCTGTTCAAGACCCGTGTGTACTCCATTGCATGTGGGTCGAAGGGTAGGACTTGGCCGGCTTGTTAAGCTCGTCATAATATCTCATGATCCTTTCGTTAGCGGATATGATAATATTTGCCTCCGCTATGGCCACATAGAATGACATGGGGTACGGAATAGACGACGAAGAGGCATATGAAGTACCATGCCGAGCCGCATTACCAATCCGGGTGAAACAGACAGAGACGGGACAGACTGAACAGCATGAAATCTGTACCTTTCCGAAGGATGCTGTACGACAAAGGTGAAAGAAAAACAAGTGCGAAGCCGAAAAAGTCACACATACGTGATGCTAGTGTTGCAATGTGGTGCTCATCCGGCAACGGGTAGTTCCGTAGAGACGGATTTGTCAATGCAAGAAATTCCAATTCCACTCGCAGTTTCTGTTGTTTTGGGTCAAGATAACAACGGCATTGTTTTCAACAGTTTCACACGTTGAGGGGCCTACATGCGTGCAAGAGACTGAGCAACTAAGTAAAACGGGTTTCTGGTGACCGTGGGTTCCTGCATCTGAAACAGCAAGCAACGGTCTGTGAGAGACATTGTTGTGCAACGCTCTCACGCCTGGGAGGTAGGTATTGCTGTACTCCGTACCAAAGGCGACTTCACAAGGCAAAAAATAAGTAGCAGGATCTGTTACCCCTCTTTGCCGGCTCATCTGAAGGCTAGTTTGATCTTGCTGCGAGAATTCCCCCTACTTTTCGGAGACTTGCAACACAGAAAGAGAAGTCAAAGATATGGTTTGCTTCATAGCATGTGAAATAAACGACCCAAGTGACGGAACACGACCTAGATCGAGACTCTGAGGAGACCATCGACCCTTGAGGGCCCAACAACAAGAGATTCAAAAGTGGGAACTAGAGCTTTCATCGAGAGGGGCGTCTGCGTAGAGGATCGGTGATATCGAGACAAAGTTTGTTATCGACGTGCTGCGATCCGTTGTGGAGTCGTTCACAGGCATGGCATCTGCGTAGGAAATTTCCTACTGGATCAGCCGATTTGGGCAGAGCGCGGTAGGGTTACAGCCCGGTACAGAGCCGTACCCATGTGCATCTCGGCATCATGCCAGGGTTCTGCTGGATGCGAGTGGCGACGGCCGCCGAGGAAGTTCAGGGCAGATGAGCATTGTTGTGTCGTCGTTGCGTGGTTCAGGTTTGCTTCGGACTGGATGATGTGTGCGGGTTGCATGCGAACCAACATGCGGCGGATGCAACCATTTCGTCCATTTTTTCTGTTGTGAAAAATGATGGCTCGGATGGTGTCCAAGGGCACACACCATACTGCGTCATTTGCCAGAAATCATTCTCAAGCTATATCAAAGCAAGACTGCCCATGGTGGAAAGTCTCGGGAAAATCTCTGAGACTGATATCGGACCGCGTGCGCCCCATCTCGGAAGGGTTGACGTCGGATGCTAATAGCCAAGGCTTGTCAAGCGCCTTCTGAGTTGCGAATACTGTTACTCGAGACTCAGAGCGCCGGGGACCAAGCCACTTCCCGGACTGGAAGCTGAGTCTCTGACAATGTTCCGCCAAGAAATGTGGACAAGGCCCAATCTTCCTTCTCTGCTACTGCACTTTGAAGGATCATTAGCAAAAAGGTGTCACGGCAATTGGTAAAATGAGACCGGCCATGTCTAGCTTGCACGAACCGTAGGGGTTTGGGGTCGAGGCAAAGGCCAAACCAATGACTCGCGCCAGAGCTGGAGCTGGCTGTGGTTGCGTCCCGTGCCGTTGGTCCACTTATGAAATCTGGACCAGCTATGAAAAAATAACGGCGCTGCATAACGTCAAAAGCTCACTATGTATGGGGTAGAGAGTCTTGATAACGCTAGCCGATGTGGGTTGTGCTCGCCGGTGCCAGGCCGTGAGGCCCGTGGCCATCTGTCCAATTTCCAGCCAACATGGTAGAAACAAGAGGCATGCTGTTATCAGACCGGTCTGGTATGAGTCTCCTTCACCTTACCCAGAACCATGGATGCTTGAGGAGCAGCCGGTGCCGAGTTTCAATTTCACATAATGGCCTGTGAGCTAATAGGGCTCACCAGGAGAACATTGGATTGGCCACAAAGCAAATGCTATGCACTATGGGTCGCAACAGAACTTTAGCCCCCAGACCCTGCGCAGGATTGCTTGTGAAGTGGTGTGTCCTTGTTCTCGAGTCTAAAATGCGCTTGCCGGCGACGTGCACACCTTCGATGGGACGTGGGCTGGTTTGTGGTGCCACGAACTGGACATGGAGTCGACGTGAGGGCCAAGCGTTAGTGGATGTGGTGAAGCCGACTGGACTGGACGTGCATTGCAGATACTCACTGACACATTGATCGACGTATAAGCTCTTTGCGACGCGTGCAATGAGCGTGCAATGACGACGGCCAGACAATGGGCCATTCTTGCTGCCTCGAGCAGTTGCGATTGTTTTGCCCTCTGGTGCGGTGTTGGCCGGGATATCGTTTATAACAGCGGGAGATATAGCCATATTGACAAGGACCAGGGTTTTGACAGGGACCGCTTCCTCCGTCCCCCGAGAAGTCCATACTCCGTACCGGTCTGGACAGTGATCAAGCAAACAAGCAAGAAGACCTCGAGAGCGAGCAAACAAACAAGCAAACAGAGACAAGCAGCAGCTCGTGCGCTCCTAGTGCTTGGTAGGGGGCTTGACAGCGCATGTGAGGTCGACAATCGACAAATCGTCTCGGTACCATGTCTTCTTCAGCAGCACAGCTATGCCCTGGAAACAACGAATGGCGTCAATGCTGGAAATCTCCCTTCAGGCCCCAGTCCTGACACTTTTATCGGGGGCTCACCCTTGTCCACCCCCATCTTCCATCTTCCGCGAGCCCGTGTTGGTCCGCCTCCTCAAATAACATCTGACCAGGTCCCTTTGCCCGCAAAAAGCTCACGCCTTTGACCCTCACATGGTCCAATAAAGCTTCTTACCAACACGGCCCCTGTCGTACTTGCGGGCTTCAATTCTCCGCTTTTCGACAGCTCTCCGCCCCATCGGCGTCTGCCTGTGGGATTGTTGCGGCACGGAGAAGTGCTGTGATCTGGGACATGCTCGGCTCCCCCGCCATGTCATCATCTTGGCCAGTGCAGAAATCGGCCCTGGACTGGGCCACCGTCTGAAATTTCTGTTCATACGAGGTTCCGTGGCAGCAAGAGGTGTGCCAGAACAACCGTGCTCATGAAGACGGGCCGTCCGGGAGACGGCGTGGCAGCCGAAGGAGGGTGAAGAGGGGAGGCTGCATCTGCATGCGACGGCCTTGCTGTGCCATTTTGCGATGCCTCGAGGCGGACGACGGAGTCGACGTCGCGGGTCGCCCATGTTGCTCATGATGCCCATGTCGGCCGGGTCGCCAGGACAAGGACCGGTCGACCACCTAGGACGTTGACATCTCGGTAATATGTGGTGGATGTAAGTGAGTAACATGTTGTAGTATGTATGTCTGGATGTGTCGCAGTTGCGTCGCCAGACCCTCTCTGCCCATCCAATTGTTTTGGCCTGTCGACATTGCATCGACCCAGGCCTGGCGTGCTCGAGTGCTTCGACCATTCGACCAGACCTTGTCTGCTGTTGCCGACATGCATCTGGGACCCCGAGCTGCTGTCCATGTAGGTCATCGCAGCTCGTCTATATTATTTTCCACCTCCTCTTAATATTTCTGTCATCTTTCATCTTTGTCGACCTGCTCCGTACTTACCTCGGCATTCGTCAGCCTGGGCATTCGGCTCCGCGCCTCTTCAAGATCAACGTATGTTTGGTGAATTGTGCTTTGCACACCGAGAAGGCCGCCAGCCAGTCCTGCCGCGCTGAGAGACGGCGATTAATTAGCTACCCCGCCGGTGCCTTGTTCCTTCCTTCCAGTGACGTCTCCAACAGCTGGGCCAAGACAATTCGACGACACACTGAGATTGGCAAGAGCAATTGCTTTGCGACGGCTCCTTCCTCACAAAATCGTCACTCTCAACTCCAGAAATCTGTTTCCTCTTCCTCTCCCCTCGTCTTGCCTCCCCCTCGCATTCAGCAAACAACACACGATCTGCGGTAGGCTTGCCGCCGACCCTCTACTTCTTTCCTTCGTCTCGGCTGCCCGGTTTTAGCTGGATGTGACTCCTCACCAGCCGTGATTTTTTTCTTCTTGTTTATGCTGGTGTCGATCTCCCGAACCCAGACTTCTACGTCTTTGATATTACAGAGCAAGGCCCACGTCTGCACACGGATCACTACTCACTTTCCTTGGGCCCACGAAGTCTTGCATCGCCCGTCGTTGACTAGTGCGCTGCGCACACAGACCTAATCGAGGACAAAGCAACCACGGAGGACCACCAACGCTTCGACAGCCGAGGGCTCGCTAACCTGCCGTCTTCCAATCCTAGCTCGCCAACCACGCCCCAACAACAAGCTTCACATCGCCAACATTTCCGCTAACGCACGCGCTCCTGCCTCTCAGCGCTCACACCATCGAGACTTGTCGAGCCGGCTGTTCCTAGTCTGCGGCTACTACCGCACCCAACCCTCCGCTGCCCTGCTCCAGGCTCGGCAGTTCCCCCCACCCACACAGAAACGGTAACGCAGGTTAGTAGTTGTCCTGCAACAGGCGAGTCGAGTTTACCCGATACAAGAGGAGGACTGATGTTGGACTGAACAGGCTGTTGACATCACACAATCTTTGAGCAAGCGACGGACTCAAGTGACGCTCACGCTGCTCAACCCGAACGCCAGGGCTGCTGGTACCCGATCACAAACGTCGGAACACACGCCCACTACCGGCTAGCGACAACAATCCACGCGACAAACAAATCGTCTCTTCCCCCGATCTGCGTCTTGAACCCATTTCGTTTTCCCCCCTCTCATTCTTTCCGAAGTGGCGGCATGTTCCAGCCCCAGTCTACACCGTTTTCCTCTTCGTCTTTCTTTTCCTCCTTGCCATCATCCCATGGCATAGATTTTGCACCACTTTTTGGTTTACCACAACCCGCACATGCGGGAGAGAGAGAGTTTAGCCCCACACATGCAGGACACCAGCAGCAATATCTTGCCCATACGGGTGTCGCCACTGGCTCTTTGTCATCCTCGTGTGCCACTGACGCGCTCCACCCACAGCAACAATACCACCCGGGCCAACAGCTTCCACCACGGCCACCCTCGGAGCTCTCGCTTGTTGCCAACCGTCAACAGCAGCATTCGCCGAGCAGATCAGCACCAAGTATGGAGGAGTCAAACAGCCATGATATGGCTGCGCAGCAAGAGGCAGCAAAGGACTATCGGCCGAAGCTTCAGGTGGGCTCTTCTTCAGTTTGCTCTGCATGCGGGTTGTGTGTGTGTGTGTGTGTGTGTGTGTGTGTGTGTGTGTGTGTGTGTGTGTGTGTGTGTGTGTGTGTGTGTGTGTGTGTGTGTGCTGCGCTCCCGGCGCAGCACCCCCGGTACATGCACTAGAATCTCCTTTAGGGGAGTTGAAATCTCTTTGGTGGTCTTGTATCAATTTCTAACTAGGCAAATATCAACAGGGGCCTTTAGTAGGAGAAAAAACTCCGAGTGAAGTCATCACAAACGAATACGCGAAAGCAGATCAAGTCTACGTTGAGAAGACAATTGTAAGCCCTTCACCGACATGATCAATCACTAGCTATATGTTGCAACTGCATTTGGACTGCCAAGTTGACCTTTCTGTACTATTTCATAGGCACTACCCCAAACATACTCACACTATCGTCCTATAAGAGGCGATGGCAACTGCGGTTGGAGAGGTAAGCTTGTTCCTCATTTCGTTCAACAATGACCTCGTTTTCCATATGCAATCATGTGCCGGCAATTTCCACAAAATTTGCTTCTTGAGGTAGACTATATTGACAACCTTTAAGCAATCGGGTTTTCCTACTTTGAGAGTCTCATTGAGCGTGGCGACCAAGCTCAGATTGAAGGAGAGTTTGCGCGCTTGAAGAGTTTGAACCATTTGCTGGCAACAGTTGGCGAGTACAACTACTTCGAAGACTTTGCCGATGAAGCCTTTGATCTGCTTCGCGAAATTGCAAGAATCATCGACAAGCCAGCCGCTGCCCACGCTTTACTCCATCAGAAGTGGAATGACGCTGCTGTGGAAGGCAGCCTCATATTTTATCTCCGGTTGTTGGCGGCAACTTTTTTAAAGGCAAATGCAGAGACATACGCGCCTTTCATTCCCGGAGGACAGGGTGTTGATGAATACTGCAGCCATAATATTGAGACAGTTAATCGCGAGATTGAGCAGCTAGGCATTGTGGCATTGGTCAACATACTCCTGAAACCTGTCAACTTCGTACTGGAAATTGCATATCTGGATCGAAGTACAGGAAGCCAAGTCAACCAGTATCGTTTTCCCGAGGAGGCAAATGGCAAGGATGCCTCATCATTGGGTACAATCATATATCTCCTTTATCGACCTGATCATTATGACATCTTGTACCGAACGCCGACGGTAACGACCTCTCCGCCACCTGTGTCGTTGCAAGTAAATCGGGTCACGGGGTTTACACACAACACTGCATTTAACACCACAGGTGCTTCAATGGGCGCTTTCTCCACCGTGGACTTTGGTGCTCTGAGCATGATACCTGGCTTGAGCACTGGGTCTTCAGATGGACTAGCGGGTTTGATGTCCATGCCAGCGGTGACGGCACCAACTAACCCTATTATTGGAGATGCCTTTTCTTCGAGCCAACAGGCAGTGTGGATGCCACAATATGGGACGGACATACAGTCGACCAAAGGAGAGTCCCCCGCACAGCCACCGCCAGCAGTTGCGACGGTCCAGCATCCTTCACCATCTCCCCTTCTAACACCAACCACACCAATGAGCTCCAATGCCCCAATGATGCCTCCCTCTACAAACATGGGCCCTCAACAACTCCCTCCACACATGGCGACTCCCGGAGCCACAGGATATCCGATACGTTTCAGCACCCATCAGCTCGAGTATGAAAATAACAGCTTCCCCGAGCCCACCTTCCAGGTAACAACGAACACTTTCAAGAATAGTGTGTGGAACAGGGCTCACTATGGGAATCCTGACTTCCAGCCGGAGGAGTGGAACCCTGAAGAGGATGGCGCCGAGAACCGACTGGCTGGAAAGCGAAAAGTTAGAAAGGACTCGTCTTGAGGGTTAGGCGACGGTGCATGTGTCTTGGAAGAATATTCTACAGGCATGCACAATCTTCCCAATATGAAGTCAACATCTACAACCACTACGGAATAGAGAAAAAAAAGAAAAAACAGCATTTATCTCGCGTGGATGGCTGATACCAGTCAATATGAAAAAAATGGGTTTCACTGATCATTAATATGCAGTAAGCACAGCAGCATCCTGTTGGTGGCGCCTTGTATTTGGCAAGCAAGCATGGGGTGGATGTAGCTTGGGAGGATGTCGACAATGGCAGTGAGTAGTGTTAATCGAGGAAGTTGTCTAGCTAGATCAACTAAGGGGGTTTGAGAGCTGTGACAAGGAGCTGGCGTTGAGGCGATGTATCAAATATGAATCCATTGATTCTCAAGTTTCAAAAATCTCCCTCTTGCGGAAGCTCAGGGATCCTCATGCGTGTTCATCGCATTCCTCATGGATGTCACTCTTCCATTATCAAATACGTAGGTGCAGTCAGCGTGGGCAACGGGGATAGTTGTCCGCTCAAGGGCGGGCGTTGGCTGCTGCACTACAGCCTCGGAATGATGGTCAGGTGTTGAGGTTGCTTCACTCAAGAGGCTTGATGCGCAAAGAATCGTAGAAAACTCCTCTTTGGCGTGTATGGACGAGACTCGAGATTCTTTGGGGTTGCATAGTACAGCTCGCGCTATGGATAGGCGAGCCTTGAGCCCAGAGGGTAGGGTTCCTGATGCCATGTTCAAGGTTCCACGACAAACTAAGCCCTTCTTTAGAGTCAATGCTCATGTCAATAGGAGGGGGGAAAACAGGCCATCCACTCCCAGGTGATTGCATCTCGACAGGCCTGCTCAATAGCACCATCCGTCTGTCTTGTCACCATGGGCGATGATGTTATCACGTATTGTTCCGCTGTACAGCACGGCATCTTTACATCACAACTCCGAGCCGGCTCCGAAAGACCTGCAGATTGCCATGTCGAATATCCCTTTCATTATTGGATCGAACGGCCCCTCGAGCAGCTTCACCACGGAACTTTTTCCCGCTGCGCCCCGTGCCGACCAGGGCGAAGAAGCGACCTGTTGACGCTGTCAATGTGATATTATGCAGAACCGATGCCGCTTTGCCGTCCGGCGACGGATATGCAACGCCCAACAAGTTGCGCAGTGCTACCTCCCCTTTGAGGTTGTCTGTTTGAGCGTCAGCATATCCATCTGCGGCTGCGTCTGACACAGCGTCTCAAGAAGCAGCGCTGCATTCTTCGCACAGGCCACGTCTGGAGCATACGAGAAGATATCACCTGCAGACGCTATGCTGCGTGGCCACAAAGCAAATCGGGAAGTTTGAACACTGTACTCCCCAGTAGGGAGGAGCTTTGCGCCCCCCGGGACCAGAATATGAGGCACATGGGAGGAAACAGACTCGTACCGATTGGCCCATTCCAAAGAGGGAAAAAGAAAAGTACTTGACGTTTTTTGATGAGCGCTGCGCGTCCCTCTTGGTAACTTGCTGGCGGTACCACTGGGCCACTCTATCTTCAAGACGGAGCGTCGCAGTGGTTCGTATTCCGCGAATGGCTTTGGACACAAGACTTGCTGCGTGTGTGTCTTGCAGATTCTCTTTTGAAGATTCGACGGGGTTCTATATCGGGCCGTATCTTGTCGTGAAGATGAGCGTCATGGTGGCGAGGCCGACGAGTCCGAGTGTCCCAGCCAAATGAGGTGGCGACTATGAAACCTGCCACCACGGTCAACGATGCCATTGCATACTGCGCCGAGAATGATTCCACCGAGGCCGCTGGGTTGGTTTGCTTGATGAGCCGAGAACGCCGTCAACGCACCGGCTGTTTCCCGGGTTGGCGAAGAGGGCGGCGTCTTGTCGCAGAATCGCACGAAATGCCATGCTGCGCGCTATATCAGCCTCGACGAAGCATATGCGAACGGCACGCTTTGGAGGATGCGACCTGCGGGTATGATCCACGCCGTGAACCACTGCATGCCGGCTCAGGGGTGGTGGAGGGTTCGCGGAGAGCGAGCATCATGTAGCCGAATATGCCGCTTGGCGGGTATGCCATACCCGACGAGATTTTGCCGACCAGATCGAGTGCTAGGACGGGCAAACAAACGGCGGCAATTCCAGCGGTTGGTAATGTTCCCAAGAGTTCCATGAATTGAGGTTCAGCCCAGTAAGTGAGTGCGAAGGCGTTCAATGCGAGACCCATGATGCCGCTATAAGGAGGCCCGTGAAACTCTTTGCATTGGAAGGGGAGATGAAAGACCCAAGACCGCCAAGAATAAGCTGCTCAAGACGAATATTCCCACTGCTGCAAGGTCTGTCAGATCATTCAAGATTGCAGCTTGGGCAAACATGGTAGGGTTGAAAGAAGTACCAATGTATACAAAGTAACGGATCAAAAAACATTATTACTTAAGAAAATGGGTTTGACTGGTTGAATAAACCTGAAAACTTATCCACTAGAGATTCCAACGCGATCTGGCTGAGTTGGTACGACCTTTAGTATGCTCGACGACTGGGACTAATGACGAGCCGTCATCAGCGGCAGTGTAGCTCTGGTTACAGCACTAATGAGCAAGGCTTATGTCTACTGGCTTGGCGTATCTATATATGGCGAAACATTCGGCATTGCTCTGTGGCGTCTCTACTTGCGGATTCAAGAGGCTGGCGTGGTCCTCGGCACACTCGGGGGGGCTGGTTCTGAGAGCTTTTTGACTTTGTCCGTCGTCATTATGAGGCTATATCTTTATTGTTGTCTATATGGTCGAGTGATGGATAGTTGAGTTACGTATAGGTGGTATACGTATCTCGACCTGCTGGTGCTTGAAGGCCTTGTATATATAAAGTAAAAATACAATTAACTGTGAGGGTCGCGAGATTTCGTAAGCTCCGAGGTGTCATTTCGCTACGCATGTCTGACAAAAGTATTTGTCTCTAAACGAATCGTTCACCTACAATCTGTACGTGACAGGCTGGTGTCTCGACTGCGCGGTGGTATCCTTCTGAAAATAGATCTCTCCCTGTACCGGCGCCATCGTTGGGTTCATTGTCAATAGCGCCAAACAGAAGTTACCAAGCATGCGAGGCATCCTTGACGACGGGGCATATTCTGCAAGTCAAAACGCCGCAAACACGGTGAAATTGAGACATTGATTCATACTCGCTACTCAGACTGGTGCATACTCACCATACGCTTCAATTAGACGGCGGAAAATTGAAATAATTCTACAATACAAGAGAATCTAAAGCTACGTCTAGTTAGACATGTGTGACTTGTACCCCAAAAGTTATAAATCGTCTTGCTGTATGTTTGCCGAATGCTTCACAAGTCCCTCCGACTCGTCACCAACTGCAGTGCCATCCTTCCGCCCTCTAGAGAGGAAGCCTCATGGGTACGTTGCCAATCATGGGCAAGGATCGCTTCTGGTTTGTACTATTAGAGTAGCGGTACGGCTTGCCATTGGCGTAGCACTCGGTCTCTCTCGTCTCTGGAATAGTGCCATTCAGCAGGTATCCACGAACAAGAGCCTTGGTACAGTCTGATGGATCGTTTAATGAAGCATGCCCATACCCATGGTGTACGACCAGCCTGGCATTTCTCACGCCCATTTCCTCGTGAAGCTCGCGAGCATTTTGGAGGGGCGTAACAGGATCGTGTGTTTCCGCGACAAGCAAGATTGGGTGCTTGAGGGTGTTATTCAAGTCGCCTTGATACAACGCTGCGCCCTTTGGCCAGTACTTGTTGTAGTTTTGGCACGGGAACACGGTTCCAAAATTTCCCCCTCCGGTCAGGAAGCTCTTTTCAGTCAGGTTGCGCCAGAGGGATTCCCAAAAGTCGAGGCCGCTGGCAGGAGGGCCGTCGCCGCTCGCGTCTCCGCATACCACCATGTACAGGAGCTCATTCGCGAAACCCAGAGGCTTTTGAGGCTCGTGTGGTTTGTACTGGAATTGTCCATGTGCCACAGAGGCAGCCGCTGTAGTGTTGCCAGATTCCAAATCCGCGAGCATTTGAGCCAGCTCTGGCCAGAAACGCGGATTATAGAGCGCACCTCCAATCACCCCCATCATGGTGCCGTATGTAATAATCACCGGCCCGGCCTCCTCGTGGTATGCTGGTATCGGACGCCTGGCCAATCCGTCAAGGAGCCTAGCCATCCTTGCCTTTAAGCTGTCCAAGGTCGCCTCGGAGCCATTAGCTGCCTTGGCAAGGGCGCATTTGCCGGGGCCGGCGGCGACACATTCTCCCAGGAAGCCTTCGTTCCAAGCAGCCGTTGTGCCGTGGACCGCAGTGGCTGCGTACCCTCCCGTGAATCTGTGCTTTCTGGAGTAGTCGACGCCGTCCAGGACAAGGCGTCCCACTTTGTCGGGGAACATGTTGGCGTAGATTTGACCAAGCGTGGTGCCGTAGCTTATCATGAGTCCCGTTAGCTCTGGCTCTCCAAGGGCAACGCGAATCGCCTCGACGTCGCGGGCGACGGACGCCGTCGAGACAAATCGGGGGACGTCGCCGAGTTGCTCAAAGCAGGCCTTGAACCTGGCGTCATTCACGGCGTTGACCACCTCCAATTGCTGGCGAGGGGACGGGGACTCTTTGAGATCTTTGCCAACCGCCAGGCTCCAACGATCCTGGAGCGCTGCAGGTAAGCAA